AGACCCATCTGGATTTAAAGCACATTTGTAAGTACATCTGGAAGGATGTTTTCAGAGACAATTAGGTCATGGTGGCTTTGAGCAAAACAGTGATTTAGTCTGTGGTAGAACTGTGGAAGGTGGAGCCTGGTTAGAAGAAGTGTATGCCTTTGAAGGGCATATCTTGCCCTAACTCTTCCTGCTACCCTTCACTTTATTTCCTGGTTTTCATGGAGTACACAGCTCTGTTCCACCACAGTTTCCATCATGATATTCTGCTTTACATATGATGTTCTGCCCAGAAACACAGGGCAGCCAACCTTGAGCAGAACCTCTGAAACCATGAGCCAAAATAAAGCTTTCCTCCCTTAAACTATCTAGGACAGTATTTTGTCACAGTGGTAGAAAGCTAACTAACACAATAAACATAACTTTGCTTGGCTAGTTCATTTTGATCCTGTTACAGAAACATTTAAGAAGAAGTCATTCCCGGGGCTGGGGAGAAGGCTCAGCGATTAAGAACACTGGTTGTAGAAGACCCGGGTTCAAATCCCAGCACCCACATGGCAGCTAACAACTGCCTGTAACTCCATTCCCAGGGGATCTGACAGCCTCTTCTGACCTCCGCAGGCATTGCACAACACGGGTGCACTTACCTACATGCAAGCAATACATGCATACACATAAAAGAAAAATAATAAAATAAAATTTTAAAAATTAAAACCTTAAAAAAAGAAACCATTCCCGAGAATTTCTATCTCTAGACTTCCCAAATATAAGTACACTTACTGATTCTAAATGGTTTTCTAAATGAAAATTGTATAATTTTCTTCATTTCCACAGCATTTATTGGACTTAAAGGGTTATTATTATTATTAAGACATGAAGTTGGGAGGGGGCTGTGTTGGGGGTCCAGGAGCACTTGGAAGAGGAAATGGGAGTGTATATAATCAAACTACATTGTATATATCTACAAAATTCTCCAGAGAATAAATTTTAAGTATCATATAAAGCTGAAATACAGGCTTAGAGGTAATGTTCAATTTGTTCAACAATAAAAAATCAGTAGGAAAAGCCAACTACTTTCCTTATGGAAAACCAAGGCTCTGGAAAGTAAGAATGAAGAAAGATAACAATATAGTCACAAAGAAAGTTATCTGCCAAACAGGGTACCTGCACTGGTGTTTTCAACTCTGTTTTGTGACCATTAACAATGGCTACATCACTAGACTGCTGCATGACTGTTTTTCTCCAGCAAAGTCAGAAAACAATGAATCCCACACAATCTTCTCCATATGAGAAAACAGCAATTTAGAGTACTCTAATCCATGTCTTTTAAATAAAAGAATTTAAATTTTTGCAAAACTGTGACCAATTCTTCTATTTTCCTTTAATTTTTTTCATCAAATAACCCTTAATTTTAAAATTTTATATTATTGTTTTATTTCTGTGTATGAGTGTTATGCCTACATATATGTAAGTGCACCCATGTCATGCAATGCCCATGGAGACCATAAGGGGTGCCAGATTCCCTAGAACTAGAGTTACCAACAGTTGTTAGCCACCATGTGGGTGCTGCAAACTGAACCCAGGTCCACTGCAAGAGCAGCCAGTGCTCTTAACCACTGAGCCATCTCTCCAGTCCCTAGAATCCTTAATTTTAAAAATAAAGAAATGAAAATGACAACAAGAGAAAGAAAACAAGGCATCTATAATCTCCAGTGTACCCCCACTGGTAGGCGTACAAAGCTGTATTCATACACTCAAGGCTATGAGGCTTTCCTGGACACCTGGGTAAGTTAGTCAGCATGGGGGTTTTAGGTTTGATGCCAACACTCCTTTCACTAAAAGATAATGAACAAAACCAGTGTGTCATTGATGATTCCAACAGCAGCATTGCTCTCTGTTCTTTCTCAGACCCAGAGCAAGTCAGTACACCAGCAATATCTTTTTCCTTCATATTCTGAGCAATACTGCCCAAAGTTGCTGGAACTCTTAAGAGAAGAGGGAATGGGCATCACTGCTTTTATTTTCTTTATTAATAGTAAGAAACTAAGCCACGTATTTTTTAACAATTAGAATCTGGATCAAGTTCAGTGCATAGTTTAAGCATATATTCCAATTAAACTATTTAATAAAATTTTCACTATTTAATAGAAATTTTAATAAAGTAAATTTGCTTTTTCCTCTAGCTCCACCCTACTACCACATGTATCTCATAGTGCAAGCTCATTCCCCTAAATAAAAAGAATCACTGGAATAATTGTGACATTGTTTTGAAAGTTCACTTTCTCTGAACCAATTGCTTTCAAAGTGTTGGTAACAAGGCTTCATGTTGTAAAATTGCCAGTAAAATATCATGACACCTGCTGTGCTTCATACCTAGGTAGTCCATGCAGGACCCCGTGCCTAGACCTACCCAATGTAGGTCTGATACAATGCATGGTGTCACCCCTGTAACCACTCCCTACCTGAAGACATATCTACAAATGTCTGTGTTCCAAGATGGACACTGACAATAAACCTTCCTACGTGTGGATGGATTCAAAATTTGGATATACTATTGAGATGTGGTAGAATTGTGCCTAGTTAAAGGAAATGTGTCAGTGGAGTGTGACTTTGAAGGACATATCTTGCCCTAGCCCTTCCTGTTTCTCTTCATTTTATTTCCTGAATGTCATGAAGTGTCACAGGACCACCAAATGATCTTTTATAGTCACAAGCTACTTCCTAGGTGCCAGGTTCTCTGGTAGATCTTGGGGACACAACAATGAGCACAACCGTCTGCATCGGTGCCTGCTCTCCTGACCTGGCAACAGCTGCTAACCTCCTCTACTTTCTCCATGACATAAGCTCCTGATTAGCTACAGTGTGGGGAGTTACTGAGCAAAGCAAAGCACAGATGCAAAGATTCATCTCAGAAATAAGCAGAATCCAGTAAGGGTCTCTTCTTGATGGATTTTCATTTATAAACATGTGAATATCAATCGCCTCATTTGAAGGTGAGGCAACAGGAACTCAGAGAGGGAAATTGCAAAGGTTATATTGAGAGTTTGTGATCATCAAAGGTGAAGGACAATCCTTGCCTGACTCCCAAAAAACTGTTCCTCTTAAGGGTCCTGAGGGCCTCAAAACAGTACTAATGCTGAGTAAGTACTGAGTTGCTCCTAATTACAGCTTTTGGGGAAGAAAGTCCCTTCATACGAAGGATTAATTCTCTTTCATCTTTAAGAGTGAGATGGAAACTCTGGACTACTTTCTGTACCACAGCCCTGTCAAGGATTACTACCTAATCATGTTCAAATGTTCAATCATCAGAAAGGCAATAATTCCCATCCCTGACTCACCTTCATGTTAGGCATCCATGTACAAGAGGATGGGGAAATAAGGATGATGATGATGATGGTGATCATGAAGACATAAGAACTAGCTGTCATGCATTGACAGCTTATTCAAACTTTAAATGACTTGTCAGATTTAATAGTCATAAGAATTTATTACGTTCTATAGAATGTGGAATAGAAAACTGAAGGGAGTAAAGGGTGAGAGACACAAGGACAGGCACAAAGCCAGGAAGGCATAATGGTAAGAGCCTGACCCGAATTCTCCAACTGGAGTCTATGGTTTTCTTTTCGGCAGTACTAGGAACTGAACCCAAATCCTCAAGCATGCTAGACAAATGTTCTACCACTTAGTCATATCCCCAGCCCTCTTTTTCACTTTTTATTGTGAGACAGGAACTCACTAAGTTGTATAACATGGCCCTGAACTTGTTCTATAACCTAGACAGGTTTAAATTTGTGATCTTATCTCAGCCTCCCAAGTAACTGGGATTCAAGTCTGTATCATTAGACCTGACTTGAGTCTATATTTAAACCATATTCATCTTTAAAGCTCAAGATATTTTAGTAATGTTGGTCTCACAAACCTAAACGAGTATGCACATTTAGGTCTCACAAATCTAAGCCAGGGAGCTAGCTGCTCCTCTGAAAAGGACATGCAGCATAATATATTATCAAGTTATAGAATAGCCTGCCAAATAACTACAAATTCAAATATCAGGTTACTGTCAATGATAAGCATTTAATGGAATGGATGATCTCAGTCCGAACACTATGATCAGTGTTGCCTTCAGGAAGGGGAAGGCTAGGGAAGGAAACAAACCATTCTACACTCCAGGAAACCTCCACTCAAGCACCCAAGAGGGTAGGCTTAGGAATATGACTAGACTGAGGCAGGGAAATCTCAGTAACATTCTGTACATGTAGCCAGTTTTCCAAACTGAGCTACAAGGGAAGAGAGATTAGGAACTGGATGAAAATCACAGAGCAGTGGAACAAAGTCCACTTTGCCCACCAATGGAAGAGAGCCATTGTTTCAGATAGTCAAAAAAGGCGAGCACAGGTAGCAAGGTTTTGATAGGCTTGAAGCAGTCCCTTACCAACGTGGGACCAGAGACAATTTCTTCCCGCAATCCAGAGCTGTAGTATTTGTCTCTAAAAAAAGGACTACAATAAGAAAACTGATTAGGTTGTCATGAGGAGTAAATGAAGATACTACAATGCTCTCCTCAATGGCAAGGCCTGTGCGAATGCTTAACAGTAGCAACAATTTCATCACTATCACAGTCATAAATATATAACCATTGAGTTGGGGATTAAGTTCACAGGTTGAGTGCTTGCCTAGTATGTGCATGGCTCTAGGTTAGATTCCAATTACCACAAAACAAGGGGGGAGGAAAGAAAAAAGAAAGGAAGGAGAGAGTGAGAGAGAGAGGAAGAGAGAGAAATGAATGAAATATAGAACAATGATTTTTAGAAAGAATTCTGAATACAAATGGAATTTTGCCTCTGGATCCAGCTAACTTGCATAACTGGTGCTGCTTTGACTATCTGCAGAGCTAAACGTTCTCTTTGTTCCCAGGGAATTGGTATAATTCTTGCTGTGGTTCAGTGTGCTGTGTTTGGCTCCCCATTCCTCCCTAGCTCTACGCCAAGCAGAGGCTTTGCCCGGGGCTTTACCTTGCTGTTTTTGCATGGTGGTGAAATCCTCAAAGGTAAGCGTGCGCACAGGAGGTCTCCAGAATGCATAAGTCTCCATGATGGCTTCAAGTCCAGTTCTAGAAAGAGAACAGCCAGAAAATCAACTTGTAAGTGATTCCCCAAATTCACTAATGTTTAAAGATCCAGAGTAGTCTGTCTGACAGTGCCTGTGTTACAGGCACTGAGAGAAAAACACCAGGTAAATTGGTCTGATAAAGGACAAGGTGCAGGTGCTTGCTGTGTTGCAGGAGGAAGAACAAAGAAACCTAATTCAGACGATTTGCAAGCAAATCTTTTAACCATGGTAAAATTTCACCATCACCCTCCTTGCAAAGAGGCTTGATGTGCATGGCAGTAAACATATTGCATGTTAATAGTCAGAGCTACTAATACCATGAGTATAGTTGAGCAAAGAGTAGCACTGACTGCTCCCACACCATCACCATTACTTCATCATCACTCACACATCCTGTCCCAGAGCCAACTCCACACCCAGAGTGTGTGAAGGGCCAATGACGCTGTCAAAGTTGATACAGCTTCGAGTGTTTAAGTCATCAGAGAAGAATGATCAACAGGAATAAGAGGAGAGTAAACAAACTCATTTGAGTTTTTACTGTAGAAAGAAATATCTACCTGAAGGCAGAGAGGGCTTGGCCCAAGAAAGAATGTTTCCAACAAAAAGGCCACTCTTTATTTCCAAATATTTATCTGTTTTTGCAACTCAATAATTAAGCAATCATGGAGAACCACAAACTGTCAAGTTTTAGGAAACACCTAACATTTTACAATTGCATTTCTTTATACCTTCTGGTTCATTGGTATTGTACAATCCATAAATTGGACAATGTGCACAACTTTCTTTACCATTTAGCTGTTTGCCTGTATGAGATACTACTATAATGATCCAGGTGACTCCCAACGTATTGTGGCTGATATTCCACATCCTCAAAACATAATGCTTGTGGAGCTTTGGTGAAAACTTTGAATAGAGCACTTGAGTATTTACTTCATTTTAAAACTGTTTCATTTATGTTGGGATGGGGATGTGCAGGGATGATGGGGACAGTAGAAGAGTGGAGAGTAGCAGATGGCATAAGAGGGAACAGTAAGGGGCTGGAGAGATGGCTCAGTGGTTAAGAATACCAGCTGTTCTTGCAGAAGACCTGGGTTTGAATCCCAGCACCTACACGGCAGCTAACAACTGTCCCTAACTGCGATTTCAGGGGATCTGACAGCTTCTTCTGTCCTCTGCAGGCATTGCATGACACAGGTGCACTCACCTATATGCAGACAATACACACGTACACATAAAAATAATAAATATTTTTTTAAAAAATAGGGAACAGTAAATAGCTTAAGTTCCCTCACTGCAAAGCCACTACAAAGAGCATGATGTGCCTCTTAGCAACAGACAGGTGTTCCCTGTTGAAAGGACGCAGGATTGCTATCTGTCCTCCATAAATAACACAATTACAGTGTTCGCTTCAGTCTATGTCAAGAATAAGGTTAGAAGTTTTATTTTTAGTGGGGAAAAAATATCTTTTCCTTTTAACTGACAATAGGATCTCCCGGGGTATCCTCTCAGATGAGCCACTGATACACCAATGGTCTCTTTGTGTTGGAAAATTTCCTCTCTGAATAGGTTTTACTTGCTCAGTTGACTTTCTAAAGTCTTTCCTGGAATCTTGGAAGCTTTAAATACACTAATGTTGGCAAACCAAACTCTGTATTTTAAGAAGAGGTTCACAGGAGAGAGTGTTGCATGGTGTTTATTGGCTGTTAATCTGTGAGAAGTAGGAATAGAAGAGATCTCTAGAGTGACTCTCTCTTAGTTCTGAATACAGTTCATGAACTATTTATGGACAGAAAGAGCTCAGGCAATTAAGGGAGTTCAGAATAATAAGGGGAGAGGCAGATAAAGCCATGTTGAGCCTTGGTGGACAGAAGAAATGGATGGGCCCAGCTTAGATCTTACTGCTTGGTTGTGGAATGTTGGCAGCTCACCAGAGCATCCTAGGATTCCCTTTAATGGCACAGGAGGCTCACAGCTGATGGCAAGGTTTTATTGTTCCACCTTCCATCCCATCTTCCCCAGGGACAAGTGCACAGCATGAGGACAAAATCTAGCACAAAGACAAAGAACAATCCCTTCTCGTTTCATAATAAAGTGTGAGAAATTTGTAAAGTTTCACTAAGGCACTAGTGGAAATCCAATACTACATTTATTAATAAGTAGAAATGGATCTAGTTTCTTTTTCATAATGCGCAAAAAGCTGTGGTGAGGAATAAATTATTTTATTTAAGCAGCCCATTTTATAGCATAATAATGACTATGTAGCAGCTCTCAATTCTAATCATAAAACAGAGCAACAGAATCATAGATTTAAAATTTGGAAAGATTCCTGAGTGTCATGTATTCTACTTAGGATATCACCTTTGATGATTACCCAGCCTCTGTTGATGTATTTCCTTGGATTCTGTTACAAAACTGCTTCTGACATTTGGGTGAAATTTCTGATATAATTTTCTCCCTCTGATTTCCTTGCCAAGAAGTAAGTGATGAGCGTTCCATACATTGCCCAGAAGGCATCTGCCTGCCACATCTTCCTCAAGGAGACCGTCTTTAGCTTAAGAAATAAACATACAATATGCCACATATGGACATATCCACGTCCATCCTGGAGTTTGTATAACAAGGTTATTTGCAAGGCAAAGTTGGAGCGATAGTAGTTGTAACTCCTCCAAATTAATGGGTAAGAATATGACCTTACTAGTCCCACCTTATTATTGAACTATAGACCTAACTTTCACAGATTTATTCTATACAGGGCAAGGTACAAATTAGCCTTTTATATGTTTTACCTTATGTGGTATGATAAAAATCTCATGGTTTGAGGCTGGAGAGTTGACTCAACAGTTAAGAGCGCTGACTGCTCTTGAGGAGGACCAGGGCTCAATCCCCACCACCCACATGGCGGTTAACAACCGTCCATAACTCCAGTTCCAGGGGATCTAATGTTCTCTTCTGACCTCTGTGGGCGTTATACACCATGGGTGTACATTTACATACATGCAGACAATACACCCATGCACATAAAATAAAAATAATAAAGAAAAAATATTGGAAATATCATGGGTTTATGCTACTCAGTCTTTTATGCATGTGCTTTTTGGAAAAAATCCTATTTATTGGATGTACACCAGATCTTTTGTCTCAAGCTCTATCAAGCTTTGGTGGAGAGATCTAAGACCTAGAAAACATTAGTTCTATACCTCAGAATTTGGCAGCGTGCCATGGCATGATTTACTAATCCACCTCTTTCTACCACTAGCTTTTGTATGTTACCTCAAGGGTTCAGATCTCATGTTTTTCTCTGCCCAGGTGTGTAGCACAATGCCTATGACATGGTATATCTCAACTGGTTTGTACTGAATTAAGATGAGGACTATTTTATTATCACGTCATTATTCCATAAATTTTAATCAGTATCCTTTCTTTCTAACCTTGAAGATTCAGAAACCAATTTGGAATAAAATAAAGCTTTTGAAGATAGAATCCTCTAGTCCAAGAGACTTGGGGTTTTTTATTCTGTACCTGAGACTGAGACTGAGCCTTTATTGACCTGAGACTCAAGAAGGTTTCAGTTCTTTTTGTTTCTGCCCCAGCTTCAGAATTTCTGAGCGTCAGCTGAGGCAGAGTCCCCCAGCAGAGTCCAGGTATTTCTATCCTTTACCTTCTACAAGAATTCTTGTCAATTACCCACTAATACCTTCATCTACTAGGTGTCTACTCACAGTATATCTTGTTCTAACCTTTGTTTATTGATCCTGTTATTTTGCCCTAGTTTTTAAATGTTTTATCTTCAGGCTTTACAAGATGGGTTCTTGGATGAGAAAAGCTATCTTGGGTGGTATCTGTTTAACATAGTCCACACAGTGAGTCTCTTAGCTTGTGGACATCAGAGACTATTGCTCTGTGCCACAGGTCAATTGTGGCAATTGCTCCTTCTTACTGATTTTTCCCTTAGTCCAGTGACAACAGAGGCTACATCTATACCCCCTTTGTTCAGTCTTTTGGCTGTAATCTCCTCTCTGGCTTCCAGGCTGCTGCTTCTCTTTAGATTTGACCAATCTTTAGATTCTGACCAAGCTGAGAGGGAAGAAAAAGGAGACAGAGCTGGCCAAAGAGATGCTTCACGAAGTCTATGATACCTCAGGATCAACTGATCTGGCCCAGTAATCAGACTGTAAGGAAATATTCTTCCAAATCCATTTTTAAAGGACTTCCTTTTGAAGCTCAGCAAATATCTGACAATTATAAAAAAGCAATTATAAAAATATTTATGATCCTGTTTAGGTGCCATCAATGTGTAGTTTCTGCCATATCCTTGTCTGGATGTAGAGAATCACTTCAACCTTGTCATACATTTATCTCCTCTTTATTTCTAACTTTCTTATTCAAGTTTGACTCTTCCCTGTACTAAGTGTTGATGATACCATTGACAGAGACAACATAAGCAAAAAGTTGATTTGGCTGTTGGTTCTGTCTCAAGAGAAGATAGTAAAGGGCTAAAAGTAACCTAAGGTAGGAGGGACTTTTAAGTCATAAGAGTTATTCACTCAAGGAAAAAGTTCATAAAATAAGACACAGGATTATTGCCCTTAAGGAGTGTCCTGCTCAGTAAAAAATACAAAAACGACTAGTTTATGAACTATATGATACACTTGGGATATGTAATAAACGCTATGGAGCATCAAGCAAGAAGTATTTAATATACCTGGGAATGTAAAGGAAGATTCCACAAAAGGCTAACTATTTAATGTTAAGATGCCCTCAGCAATCTTCCATTCTGAACAAAAGGCAGTTTTTGCAGCAGAGTTAACAGTGTGTACAAAGATGTAATGCTACAGAAGAGAAGGTATGTGCTGGGAAACAGACACAGGTCAGGGTGGCCGCAACTCTGTGTAGGATGAAGAGAGTGAACACAGTGGACATCCATTCCATGTGAGGCATTCAGATTGTGTCCTCTGAGCCGTGCCTCTGCTCTCCCTTCCTTTCACATCCTACTCTAGTATT